CCCTGGTCCTGCACAAATTATATCAACATCAAATACAGTGAAAATAGGGGTTATACCGTAGGGGAGGGACCTACAAAGCAACAGTTTCTCTTTCTCTTTCCATTCCTTTCTTCCCTTTCTACCTCCTTCCTTCCTTTCTCTCTTTCTCACACACATCAGTAAGAAGCCATGTGACCTCATCATTTCCCTCTTATAAATGAAGAAGCAACATGATGGTAAGATCTTAATACAGTTAGTACTGAATTTGGTTCTTTATGGGATTATTTAAGAACCATGGTGTTCTTTACAGCATACAGGCTCTGCTTGCTGAGATAAAAACAAAAACTGAGTTGCTAAAGTCAGAAAACTTGGGTGGACATTGACTATTTATTTATTTGTACTGGTCCTGGGCTCTGTCCTTGAACTTTTGTGCTCAAGGCTAGCACTCTACCACTTGAGCCACAGTACCACTTCTGGGTTGTTTAGTGGTTAATTGGAGATAAAAGTCTCAAGGACTTTCCTGCCCAGGCTGACTTTGTGATCCTCAGATCTCAGCTTCCTGAGTAGCCTGGATTATAGGTGTGAACCAAACTGGCCAAGTATTATTTTTTCAAAACAGGAGACTACCTGGATACCGGTGGCTTGAGCTGTGGATCAAATGGTAGAGCATTAACTTTCAGCAAAAAATAGTCAGGGACAGTGCCCAGGCTCTGTGTTCAAGTGGCAGGAACAGCAGGCACACACACACACACACACACACACACACACACACACACACACTTACACACACCCCAGAAAAACCAAGCAGGAGACTGTACTGGAGACAGTCATGTCCTGAGTGAGCTAGTTCACTCTCTAGGAAGAAGCCCCCTGCGATGGCAGGAATTCATGGGCTCAGTGGCATGCCTTTCTTCAGTATCAATTTGTTCCTGTTACAGGCAATTTCCTGCCACTTTGCCAGCTCCCACTGCCACTACATCGATGTGAAGGGCACCAGTCAAGAAAACATCCAGAAAGAAATCATGGAGTATGCAGCTAAGTTTTATGGAACTCCAAGTAACATCAGCCCTAAGGTACCTAGTGTGAGATAACAAAGGAAAAATGTCAGCTTTTTTAAAGGAGTAGAGGTGTGGCTTAAGTGGTAGAACATCTACTTAGCAAGGGAGAGGCCCTGAGTAATAATCCAGGACTGCCAAAGAGAGTCACTCCCCCATCAAGATAGTTAATTCATACCTAGTTTCATCTCATAGTATATAGGACCTGAGTTAGAGTTCCTTTTAGAAGCATTGATGAGAATGTCAGGGGAAGTTCACTTTGTACTTCCTTTTTTAGCGAAGGCCTTGAAGCTGCTTCTCCAGTCTCTGGTGGTCCTACCACAAGTGGGCAATCTTGTTCCACAAAGGACAGGCAAGAAAAGAGGAGAGGAAATG